AAGGCCCCCGCAGCCCACTTACACCCTCCGGGTACTCCTGTCCACACCTTTGAGACGCGCACCCCTTCCTCGCTCAGCTCTTTTATCGGCACAATTTTTTTTTCCCAAAAGGCCGCCAGCCCTGATTTAAAGGAATGGGGAAAAACAGCCCCAGCAGAGGCAGTTACAGCAGTCAAGGCTCCAGTCACTTTCTGCCTGCTGGGGTGTTCTTGTACCGGGGAGCTGCGTGGGCACCTCTTGCCATCTGGGCAAAGCTGTGGCGAGGATGTGAATGTGGGCAAGCTCACGAAGTTGGGTCCAGCCGTGGCTGAAGCTGGACTAGGTCTGAGCTGGTGAATCAGGAAAGGGCTCTGGCTTCTGCTGTACCTACCTGAGCTGGCAGTTGTTTGACAAGCTACAAATTGTGTTGTCATTATAAACAGGTTCTCTCATTCTTAAATTATTTGCTACCAGCAAACACTAGTTTAACCACAGAAAAAGCTAACCTCGAGCGAGACTTTCATGATAGTCTCTGTAGAAGAGATACTTCAACCCTTAAAAATAATTAAAACATCTATTATAAATGTTTTCTCACTGGAAACAATACTGAGTTACAGCATTTGTGTAAGAGTACCATATTCTGCACCATTAGCTAATTAAAAGTTGTGCTGCAGGCAGACAAAACAAAGTAGAGGCTGCACTATCCTACTCTAGTAATCATTTCATGCAGGATTGACACTCGATTTCATTCTCATAAGCCTGCAGATGAAACATGCTTTGGGTCAGGAAGACTGTTTTCCACAAAAAAGCAGCTAGTCCTTTCTTACGTTGCCTGAATAACTCAGTGTCTCTCAAACTGTTGATCAGCTCCCTTTCCCCTCCATGCTCTACATTCAAAATAGCTTATGGCCTCCCATGAATATCACACGTAAGTCTACAAGTCTACCTCTAACCTTGGTCTCTGATGCTCAACTTTATTTTGTACCCAGGCATACCTCATGCTTTTTTGATCATTCTGACTTTTCCATTTCAGTGCCTAGAGCCCGCTGCTTTAGCTAATTCATTTGGCATAAATTCAAGCATTCACCCTGCATGCCACCCCACTGCAAGCTACAGAGCAGTATATGTGTAACACAGGGCTCTGGGGACCATGTACGTATGCATTTAGAGGGAAGAACTCCTCCAGTGGTGCATTGGCAACACAGAGTTTGGAGAGGTCTCTGTGTCTATAAAGACGTTCGGGGCAGAAAGAGGATGGCAAGGTGGCTGTTCCAGAGAGCAGCCAGAGCTTCTGACTCCCCTGTCGATCTTCCCTCCCCCAGTAACAGCTGTTGCAGTAAGGAGGCATGAGGGACGCCGCTGGTGGGACCAATTTGGGCTCCAGACACTTGGGAAGGAAGTTATAGGGTAGAGGGGGTTGCAAAGGGACAGACTCTCCAGCGGAGTTACTACCTGAGGAAAGCCTTTCACCCTGTGCCTCAGGATGTGAAAGGGATGGCTCATAGTCCCACTACACTCCTACTCAGGCTCAGCAGGAGTCTGGATGGGGCAGCACCGGGCATTGTTTGTCTCCTACCAAATTAATGGGCTGTTGTTGAAAAGGGGAGAACAAACAGAACAAAGGAATAGCCCAACTTTGCTTACCAAACCACGGCCCTGCTGCCAATAACCACAGAACTGCTTGATTTACACTGGACTTAAATTACCTAGAAGTTAGTTTCACTGGTGAGACACACAGCTAGATAGTTCCTTTAATTCCACACATACAGACCTTGTGTCTATAGGCACAAATACCTAAAAAAAATAGAGTTATGCAGCTAAGCAAGCAGTCCTGTCCCCTCTGTGTTATCAAAAGACGAGCTTCTTATCAGAAGCCAGGTAATGTTTACTTGCATGGTTAACATTGGGCCACATTCTTGCCTCTGCCCAGAATCTCATCACATATCACTTGCACCTCAGAAAACACAAAACATCATAAAAAAGAATGCAAGTTACATTAATAAAATCATTTGAAATTTTAATTAAGATCCATGTTTGTTTTGCAACAGTTTCTAAAAGGCTATGATGAAACATAAGAATTATTTTGAATGAGACTAAATAAAAGCACAAATCCCAGGAAATAATTCTGCATTTGGAGAAGACTGAATAGAAAAGCCTGATTTTAACTAAGATCTACACAATTACCAGGAGCATTAGGGAATGTCCTTGCAAAAATTCCTCCCTTCAGTTAAGGCTTTGAAAAGAAAGTTTTTCAGAAGTGTGGAGCACCTCTAATCTCAAGGCAGTAATTGAGAATTAGAAGTCCTTAGCATCCTTGAGCACAGAGCTAGAAAATTATTTTCTAAACAAATCTAACTTTACAGTAAAGAGCTATTAATCTTATTAAAAAATGAGATTGATTCTTACCACTGGGAGCTGGCACTGTAATTGCCAGTCACTCAGTTGTTCCTAATTTATCGGATGAAACAAATAATGCAACATTTCATGGTTGGTATTGTTTTATTGTCTAATATTGATTAAATTATTTACACCCCTATTTTTCAATCCACAGTTCAGCACTCATACCTATGGCTTTTACTTTTACGTTTCGCACATCTTTGTGTCACGTGTCAGAATTTTGTTTCAAAAAAAACCCCAGGAACCTTATACCATATAGACAAGTCTCCTCTACATTTATGTTTAAACATACTCATTTTCAAAAATGACAGTTCATAAAAGAAGAGTCTGCTGGTATTTCTTGCAGCTCACGTTACCACAGATTCTACTTAGCTTTTTCTGTTTGTCCCTTTTAGAGTGTCCTGCTGCCTCCACGTGGAACCTGTTTCCTCCCCCAGCCCACTGCCTCTAAATTTAATGCAAAAAACCAAAAAAAACCCAAACAAAAAAAAGCCCACACCAGTAGCTGACAATTTTAAGCAAAAATATAAAGCGCTGTAACAGTACCTACATTGCTTTTTACTGAACTAGGTTCTTGGACACTCTAGGAACTTTGTAGAAATTTAACCAGTCAGTGTTGAAAAGGCACAGGATTTTTGTGCTCAGAGACCTCCAGCAACAATGTTTTTTCCCCAGCCTGAAAGTTAGAGACCACTGTTAGGTTACAGCAAACAGTCTGATCCGCCAATTCACAGGTACCAAATTGCCGCTTACAATAGAACCTTCCAGATTTTACTGATTCTTCTGCCACGGATACCCTGCAAATCTAC